TATATATATATATATATATGGAAATCTTAAATATGCTAATGACCTGCCCCGAGGACTTGGAGTCAGGTGTGAAATGGGACTTAGATTTCCACACCACCAATGCTGCTGGTTTTACACACAGATTAAGATCACTTGTGTGAATTTGCAGGGTCACAAAATAAAACACAGACACAATTTACCTTACAGAAGCTTCAGGATGGCTTCCCTGGCTCTCAGCCTCAAGCTCCCCAAAAGGGAGAGTAAGAGAAAGTCACGAGAGGCTGTCGAGAGAGAGAGAGAGAGAGAGAGAGAGAGAGAGAGAGAGGGAGAGGGGGGGGGGGAGGGAAGGAAGGGAGCATGCTCGGAAGTGAGCTTTTATTAGGGGGACTCTGTTCTTAGAAAGTTCTATCTATAACAGTGCAGAAGGGGTAGGGCTACAAGGGAATAGGTGAGTGTAACTCAACCCTAGGGTTACGCCCACAAAGAAGACCTCCTTACTATTCAAGCATTCTCTGCCCAAGCCACAACAAGTGCAGTGGTTGGTCAGAGCCTGAGGCATCAGGACTGGAAGGTGTGGTCATTCAGTGTGGCTCCCCACACTGGACTCAAGTGATTCTTCTATCTCAGCCTCTCAGGTAGCTGGGACTACAGGCCTGTCTTCCTGTCACATTGTTAGAGAAAACCACAACAATGATTTCCTGAGAGAATGACTCCTATTCCCAGAAGCTTTAAGTGTGTTTAAAAAATAACTTCTACAGAAAAAAAAATACTCACTTCTGTATATCCTTTCAACTTACCAGGTCTTTAAAAAGTATGCATTCATACTATCCTTTTAGAATTGGTCATTGGCCAATATTCAGCATTACTCAAAAGCAACCTCTCAATGCCAATTTATTTCCAGATAAGATTTGGTCCATTTAAGGGAAATCATTAAGAATGAACCAAGGGACAGGGAATAAGGAGGCTGCCCATATCCACAGACATCCACCCAGGAGACACCAGCCTTTGATTTATAGATAAGGTATTCATTCCTAACCAAAACAAATTTGATAAAAATAGAATAAGTCACTTAAAAATCTTACTTTCCAAGAAAGTCCCATTTAGGGGCCTGAAAGTACATGAAATTAGACCAGTTCAGCAAGAGTATGGATTCTAAAATGGCTAATAAGGTGGCAGTGATGACCAAAGGTTTCCCACACTCATCACACTTATAAGGTCTCTCTCCAGTGTGGCTTCTTTGATGTTTCGTAAGGAGTGTCCACCTACTAAAGCTTTTACACCACTGACTGCATTGATAAGGTTTCTCATCAGTGTGGATTTAGAGATGCTGAAAAAGTCCTGCATTCTGACTAAAGGCTTTGCCATACTGATTACACTGATAGCATTTCTCTTCAGTGTGTAATCTAAAGAGCTGAGGCAGAAAGCCTTTCCACATGCTTCACATTGATAGGGTTTTTCTCCTGTGTGGATTCTTCTGTGTCTGATGAGGCCATTGCTGGCACTGAAGGATTTCCCACACTCCCTTACATTGATAGGGTTTCTCTCCAGTGTGGTTCCACTGATGTTCAATCAGGCTGAAAGCCTTCCCACATTCTTCACATTCATGTGGCTTCTCCCCAGTGTGGATTCTCTGGTGCTGAATGAGGACTGAGCTCTGAGTGAAGCTTTTTCCACATTCATTCCACTGGTGACATCTTTCTCCAACAGAATGGCAACTTTGCTTTTCTACCTTGTTCTCATGTTTACAAGTTTCTCTGTACTTAGAATCCAGAGAAACATTTTTTTTGGGAATCTGCTGTCCCCAAAATGTTCCATTTCTTTTAAGACTTTCTGTTTTGATACCAACTTCTGGTTTTCAGGTATAGTCTTAGCCCCTGGAATAATAAATGGACCAAACAATGTCATCCTTCTCCATTATGAAAAAGCACTATCATAAGATGGAAATCAGATATATATATATTCTAAGAATGCAAACCTGAAAGTTTAATGTCAGGAGTTTTAAATAGGGATATTAAGGTCAAGAGCATTGCTGAAATTGCTGGAAGGGATTACCCAGAAAAAGCAAGATTCCCAGAGAGGATGCACATGACCAGTTACTACAAACTATTCACTACAAGACTAGCACTGTTCTAAGTGTTTCATACATATTAACTTGTTGAATTCTAAACTATTTGACTGAGGTATGATGATTAGCCCCATTTCATAGATGTATCAACTGAAGGAACAGAGAGCTTCCTTGAACCGCTTGTTGTCAAGAGCTATGGAGTAGCAATGCTTAAATTCCAACTCAGGCAATTTGGCTCCAAAGTCCTCAGTCTTAAACAATTTCCTACACAGAGCCAATGAAGATCTCCTGAATGGACCTGTCAAAGTCCTTACCTTGTTCTTGAAATTGGTGGAGGCCAAAGCTTCATATTTGAACTGTGTGTCACCATAGACTGGAGCTGGGTGACTGTTGATTCCTGCTTGCCCTTGAGATGTACCATGTCCTCTGTAAGCACGTTAACATGTCTGTATTCCTGGTATGGGGCTTGAAGGCAGGTATATTTGGGTTCATAAGAGAAAGACTATGAGAGTACAAGCTAATACTTAATTAAAGAGATCATATGGAATCATTTGAAACATTTTCTAAAGCAGTGGCTCAATGTAAGGAGCAGAGTTTAGTTTCATACTCAAAAAGAGAACAGGGGGATGGTTTAAAATAGGTAGTTTTTGATAATCCTCCCTTTAAAAGACAGAGTCTAACTCCCCTTCCCTTGAGTGTGTACTGTACTTAATGGCTCACTTCTACTGAACAAAAGTGTGACAGAAATGATGGCATATAACTTCTATGTCATGAAAAGCATTGTGGCTCTTTTCTTTCTTTTTCCTCCTGAGAAAACCAGCTGATTTGTCATAAAGATATTGAAGCAAGTCTAAGAGGAGACTGATGGAGCAAAGAACTAAAACCTCCTGCCAATAGCCAGAGAGAAAATTAAGCTGCCAACAACCATAAAAGTGAGCCATCTTGGAATTAGATCCACCAGCCTCATTCAAGTTACCATTTGACTATAGTCTTGGCTGACATCATCACTGCTACCTAACAGGAGATTGTTCTAAGTAGCTCCCAAATGGCTGCAGCAGAATAACCGGGTGGCAGGTGCTGACCCTCCCTCTCTTCCCAAACCTGCTATATCTGACTGGCGGTGAGGCACCAGGCCTGCGGG